CACCAATTGCACTACTAGGCATTTATCTACGGGATACAGGTGTGCTGTTTCGAAGGGACACATGCACCCCCACGTTTATAGCAGCACTATCAACAACAGCCAAAGTATGGAAAGAGCCCAAATGTCCATCGATGGATGAATGGATAAAGAAGAGGTGGTATATATACATATACACAATGGAGTATTACTCGGCAATCAAAAAGAATGAAATCTTACCATTTGCAACTATGTGGATGGAACTGGAGGGTATTATGCTAAGTGAAATTAGTCAGAGAAAGACAAAAATTATATGACTTCACTCATATGAGGACTTTAAGAGACAAAACAGATGAACATAAGGGAAGGGAAACAAAAATAATATAAAAACAGGGAGGGGGACAAAACAGAAGAGACTCATAAATATGGAGAACTGAGGGTTGCTGGAGGGGTTGTGGGAGGGGGGATGGGGTAAATGGGTAAGAGATACTAAGGAATCTACTCCTGAAATCATTGTTGCAGTATATGCTGATTAATTTGGATGTAAATTTAAAAAAAGGAATAAAAAGAAAAGAAACAGATGCCCAAAAAAAAAGGGACACGCTATCTTGAATTAATTTTGAACCATACAGACACATAACAAAATTATTAAATTGAATAAATGCCAGGGTGAATGGATATAGGCTGAGTCATAAGCAAGAATTTAAAAAATGATTTACTGTTTTCATTATTTTATTTATGAGATGAACCCATCAATCAAATTTATATTGACCACCTAATAATTGACAAGAAATTTCTGGATGCTACATACACAAAGACCAATTAGTCCAAGAGCTTGCCTTAAAGGAGTTTACTGTTTATAGGAGAGCAAAGAAGACAAGAAAATAAAATACACATGCTATGTTTTATGACAGACGTATGCATGTGACTAAGATGGTCTTGATGCTCCCCTTAGCTGGACTAAATTCTAGACCAGTTTCTTTCAGATTGTATGTCTCTGGCCTGCCTTTTATTATAGCATTTACTTTATAAAACTTGAAAGTGCAGATACTTTCTCTGCTCTTTTGTAATACAGATAAAACTTCTCCCAGTTTCTAGCCAGTTTTACAACCCAGGAACTCCTTCCTCAAGTACATGGGCATTAATTCTTTTGAAATGAAATCAAGAAAAACAGGGGCCCTAACTTTCAGTCTTCACGGGAGAGAAGGTGCCTAACTTCAATACGTACCAATTAGCAAACACAAATGGCTCAATCACATGGGCCAACTTCCCTCTAAGGTCTTATAGTACTTTTTCATAGCTCATGCTGTTGCTTAAAAATTCTCCTGCCTTGGGGCGCCTGGGTGGCGCAGTCGGTTAAGCGTCCGACTTCAGCCAGGTCACGATCTCGCGGTCCGTGAGTTCGAGCCCCGCGTCGAACAGCCTGGAGCCTGTTTCCGATTCTGTGTCTCCCTCTCTCTCTGCCCCTCCCCCGTTCATGCTCTGTCTCTCTCTGTCCCAAAAATAAATAAAAACGTTAAAAAAAAAAAATTAAAAAAAAAAATTCTCCTGCCTTAGTTTCAATGGAGTTGAGTTTAATTTCTCTCCCTTATCGCAACAATGTTGAATAAAGCGTTCCTTGACATTTTTAACAAAGTGTATATTGCAATCTCTCTCTGGTACATTAAAACCATGGCAACACAAGAGACTCAGCATGTGAGGGGATAGGTAAGATTTTTTTTTTCTTTCAAAGAACAGGACACCTGAGGTGAGACGTAAATTTTGAGAATTAAATACTCTAGGTGAAGGTGTTGGCAGCATTCCAGGCAGAGTGAGGGGCATGCACACAGGCAGGGTTACGGGTCTGTGGAGCATAACATCAATTTCTTCAACTGAACGTTTCTTAACAAAGACTCTGTGTATATGTGTATGCATGTGTGTGTGTGTGTGTGTGTGTATACATATACACTAAAATTTAAAGAAATCTGAATTATTTCTATAAAAATCAATAAAATATATTACTACCACATTAGAGTTTTAAAAGCAAATTTATAAAATTATTCTTCTACCAAAGTCATCTACTTGTCTGTGTCTACTTTGTTTTTATTATAGTTAAGTCAAATCGGCTTCTGTTTAGGAATTTTTCAATGTCAATATACTTTTGAACCTAATCCTTTGAATCAAGAGAGTTACCAATGAGCATTGGCTGAAGGACAGATTTGAATCACGGTTATAGGAAAACACTACTGCCCAAGGTGATTATTCCATCTGAAAGTTATACACATTCATGGCAGTGTATTCAAAGGGATGAAGGTAACAAAAGCTTGATTTTTCTCCTTTTCCTTTCAGGACAGCTCCCATGAGAACAGCTGTTCTCTTATTAATGCTGTTAAATGTTAGCAATAAACCTCTCTGGATTTGAACTGAATAAGGTGACGTAGAAGAAAGTTTGTACCAAATAAATTTGCGTAGATTAGAGTCTGCAGGTGGTCTAAAACATGCCTGTATTGGGAGCCAAATTGTTCAGCACTGGAACCTTTTGAAATGAGAACAAAGAGCCTTTCATTGCTGAAATTCTAAATGCAGCTTAGTACTTCATTAGAAACCTCTTAGTTCGCTGTAGGAATCTTTCAGATTTAATTATGAGGTTGGGAAAAAGCCTTCTTTCCCTAGGATACCATATTGAAACATTTAATTCTGTGTTTCCTGGGAGATCTCCAAGTTTTGCAAATTGCTGAAATTATCAGTGCATATTTAATCTAAATTTTTTCTGAAACCTAACTTTCAGGCTCAATCAAGTTAACCGTCTCAGTCAATCTGATTATGAAACTAAAATTACTCGGATTCTACAGCAGTCGAGTTAGAAATGAGGAAATCTGGGCTTGGAGAGTAACACATCAGAATCTGGAAGTCAGTATGGCAACTTAACCCTACAGAACGAAAAGTAATTGAATATCTGGTTGTCTCATTTGCTGCTAAAGCCAATGCTGACAAGTTGAGCCTGTTTAATCTCCTGGCCTGTGTTCTTCAATTCTTGATGCCGGTATTATGTGTGTGTGTTTTCAATGTGTTTGAGTTCAAATAGCAATCAGTAAGAGCCCATGGGAACAAAGCTTTTCCAAGAGGCTAAGCCGACAACACTTTCTAATGTCACTCAGTGGGAAAAGAAAAACAAAAACAAAAAACAAACAAAAAACTGTCCTGTCCTTCAACAGCAAACTACCTCCTGGCTCTTTGAAGTTAAACAAAACAAAACAAAACAAAACAAAACAAAACAAAACAAAACACTACATGTTTATTAAATGAACAAATGAAAACATAAGCCATGAATCCCAAGTCTTGTCTCCAACCTCTGAATCTCAAGATTAGCACAAAATTGCTAATGGAAATCTTTTTATAAGCACCAGAGAAATAAAATATAATTTCTTTGATAATAGAATACTGAAGTAAAACAACTTTTGATTTTCACCTCATTCTGTACCAAAGTTAAAATATAAGACAGAACTGAAGCAAAAATTTAACCTAGAGGAAATTTGTGAAACCCTGCCTCATTAGTTTATAGTTCATGAAGATCTCTGTATCTCCATTTTGCAAGCTTACAACAGAGTACTTATAGAGGGCAAAATGGGTCAAACCCATGTCAGACTGAATTTACTAGATGGCTGAGATGAACTGAGTCATGAATTTTCCTGACAGTGCTAAAAGATGGGAATAAATGATCAGAATGTCTTTCTTTGGTAATATTTTGGGTAAGGGCTTCGAAAAATATTACCACTATATTTTTTTTATGAAGGCAGAGGTAAACCACATACTGTGTTTTCATGAAAATAATAACACTATTTGTGCAATGTTACTGTAAGGGTTATGGGTTTTCCTAATTATGATGTTTGGGCCTCCTCCCTATGACAGGAGAAGTAGCGGAGAATATTTCAAGACATGAATAAAACTAATGCCTTTTTGTCATCAGGTGAGTTAAAATGGATTAGGTTGGCTACATGATGTGTTCCAAATCAATGACCAGATGCGAATACTTTTCACTGTTCCTAATGTCACTACTTTGCCTGGTTCAAAGCCACAATCATTTCTCACTTGGATAACTTCAACAGCCTCTTATTACCCTTATTCCCACCTCAGACTCAAGAGTGTTCTCAATACAGCAGCTGAAGCAACCCATTTAAAACGTAAGCTGAATCAGCTAACTCTTCTGCACCACATCTCTCAGGGCTTCCCAACTTACTCAGAGTAAAAGCCAAACTCCATACTGTGACCTACAGCGCCCCACCTTCAAACCCTACTTCATTTGGCTCCCCACTGCCTCTCTCCTGCTGCCCCCTCAGCCCCTTTCCTGTCTTAGCCACCCCAGCTCTCCTGATGCTCCTTGAACACCCAGCCAACGTCAACCTCAGGACGTTTACATGGTTTGCTTCTTTCTCTTCTTGGAACACTTTTTCCACCTGAACTGCCATGGATCTTCCTTCACTTCTTTCAGTCTTTTTTTCTTTTTTTTCTTTTTTTATGTCTTTCTTCTTTAGACCATCTGTGGGTACCTTATCTAAAATTTTAACTTTTCTCTGCAGTATTTCATATCCCCCCTTTTTTTTAAATCGAGCATTTATCAGTACCTGACTTATTAAAGACTTACTGACTTGTCCTGCTTAGTGTCTACTGACTCCACTGGAAAGAAAAGTCTAAATGGGCAAGGATTTATATTTTGTCTGATTTGTTCATGGCTCTATCTTCAGTACGTGGAAGAATGCCTGGCACAGCGTTGATGCTTAATAAAAATTTGTTACATAAATGAGTGATAACTACCTCTTACCACTTCACATGGCTTTCCTTGAACTAGGCCAACAAAACTCTATTGTTGCTCTATATAGTATGTGAAATTCCTTTCATCTCTAAATTATTAAGATACTACAAAGAACAGACTTCAACCGCTTGATTTCTTTTTGCTTCATAACAGAGAATGTATCCTTGTATGAACATGGTATTATAATAGATTCCACAGTCTATAATTGCTATTATTATGATATTAGGGAAGGGAGGTTATCCACAATCCAATGCAGATGATATGTGGACACAAACTATGTAGTTCATGAGAAGCGTAAATTCATCCAAACCTATGTAAAAACAAAAAAACAAAAAACAAAACAACAATCCTAGGAAAAACACACTAGAAATAGATTTTATAAAACTTACTTGGAGCTTCATTATTTTCACAGGTTTCCTCTTCATTTGGTGCTTCTTCCTCCTCCTCCTCTTCTTCTGGGTCATCAGTATCTCCTGACTCATCACTGTCTTCCACCCATTTCCCTGGCATTAGTCCTGCTGAATCATAGGAGTTGCACAGAGGACCCACAATGTGAGAGATGAAGGATTCCTGAAGATTGGCCAACTGAGGAGCAGAACGGTCCATGAAGGGGCTTATTGGTAACCCAAGGCTGGCCTCTTCATCACCCTGGAAATAGGAATTTAGCATGAATAGTCAACCAGAAAGATAAATGACATGGAAAATTTAAAATACTAGTAAAGTCAACATTCACTTGGCATCTAAAATTTGCAATTATGTAAGAACCCAGACAGTCATGTGTGAACTCCCTCTTTTGCTTGACTGCTAAAAGATTCTACTCAAATTACTAAGATCCCTGTAGAAATGTTTTGTTGCTATTTATCACTTTTGTGATCTTGAGATTTTGGCTTTTGATTGAGGGGAAATAGAAGAAATGGTCTAATGTCTCAGTAGATGGTACTTCTTATTACACATGATTCCTCTTTAAATGAGTATATAAATGCACTTTAAAATGCAATGCTGGGAATAATTATCCAACAAATACATAATCTATCATGTTTCTTTTTTTTTTCTTTTGCCTTAGCTGCCAGAAATCTTAGTATAGTTTATTGCTCAATTAAAGGTGCTATCTTATCCCAGCTTTTGGTTGAATTATATCTTCTGTGATTATATGGTTTCTGAAAGTCTTATTTGGCAATATGTTTATCAGTACTATTGTGTGTTTTTATTTTGAACTGCTTCAAATCTTTCTGGAAAAAAAAAAAACAGATTGTAAACTAGTAGTCATCTAGCAAAATTAATGAAGGAAATATAGTGAAATACCAACAATGGTTATACCTATGTAGAATGATCATAAATTATCCTTTTTATTTGTCTTTATTTCAATATTTGGGGATTGATTATGAATTAATCTCATTTCTAGAAAAGTATCTAGAAAGTATAAACCTTTTATTCTATATATGAATCCTGTCTACAAAACCTTATAAACCTATAAAATTCTTTCTAATCCCTCTTTAAATATGTCCAGCGATAGCAGGCAATTTATTACTTATTTCTGGATTTCTTCATAATACAAATTTTTTTCTCTCATTGTCTTGAAATCAATCTCACTATACCTTCTTTAGACTGGTTATATCCACACCGTTTTTAGGGAAGGAAAAAGAAATCTCATGTTTCTTAAAAATCACATCTTGGGGCACCTGGGTGGCTCAGTGGGTTGAGTGTCCAACTTTGGTCAGGTCATGATCTCACGGCTCGTGAGTTTGAGCCCCACATCAGGCTCTGGTGCTGACGGCGCAGAGCCTGGAGTCTGCTTCAGATTCTGTGTCTCCCTCTCTCTCTGCCCCTAACCCACTTGCATTCTGTCTCTGTCTCTCTCAAAAATAAATAGACATTAAAAAAAATCAGGTCCTGTGTTAAGCAATAATTTATCTTCTTTAATCTCCACAATGTATGATCACTTAACACTAAATTTGTAAGTCAGCCTTTTAAGTATCTGAAGACAGTTATTACATCACCTCCATTTTCTCCCATGGTAATGATCTTCACTTTTTTCATGTCTTTTTATGTCACTGATCCCTGTCCTTTACCCATGATCAACTGCCTCCACATTCCTCTTAAGAGAGTAAATCACAGTACTCAAAACACAGTTTCAGATATAGTTAAACCAGCATAGGATAATATGGGGAAGATCACCTCATGTTTATGTGTTTGGTAGGTTTTTTGTTAGTGTGTTTATTTTCACATTATCATGTCAAATAAAATGCCTATTTTTAAAGTTTTTTTGTATGCTGCTGTTATTGACCACTAAAAGTAAATGAACTTGGGAGTGCCTGGGTGGCTCAGTTGGTTAAGCCACCTTGATTCCAGTCAGGTCATAATCTCATGGTTCATGAGACCGAGCCCTGCGTCAGGCTCTGTGCTGACATCGCAGAGCCTGCTTGGGGTTCTCTCTCTCCTTCTCTTTCTCTGCCTCTCCCCGCCCTCTCTCTCTGCCCCCCAACTCCTGCTCTTTCTCTCTCAAAATAAACATTAAAAAGTAAATGAACTTAGTCTGATATACATTCACCCATATAAACTACCTTATAATCAGTTTATAAAAAAAAAAAACAATATGTCAATGGTGTTCCTAATGGCTCACTAAGTCATTTCATTATCTCAGTATCTTCTCCTTCCCCTCCCACACTCCCACAATCCTTGCAAATTGTGTATGTTTAGAGTTTTTAGTCAGCGCATTTTCTGATGTATGAATATGAAAGAGACTGATCACATTTTACAGCTTTTGGAAGCTTTTCTGAATTTATGAGCAGCCTAAGTAGGAATTAAGATAAACAGTTAAGTTAGTTACCTGTTCATAAAATTCGTTGACAATACCCTCTGTCCACTGGAGATGGAGCTCTTTACATTTAGCTGGCCCATTGATATCAGCCAACTTTATACACATTTGACAAACCAGTAGACGATCATTTTCATTGGTCCAATCTATTCCAACATCATCATTAACCTGTTTGAGGGGCAAAGTTAAAATGTGTTTTGCCTCAATGAAAGCAAAAGTTGAACAGATAAACAATATTCATTATCTTCCTAACATGTAGAGATCAGAATACCAAGAAATGAAGAACTTCGTAGTTATTTAAAATAACATTATTGGCTTGCATAACAGTGAAATAGCTTATCGGAAGTCTAAAATAAGAAATGATGGACAAAATAATTATTAATTATTGAAGTGAAAATAATGCTACTTAAAATTAGCATAGGGGCGTCTGGGTGGCTTAGTCGGTTAAGCGTCCGACTTTGGCTCAGGTCATGATCTTGCGGTCTGTGAGTTAGAGCCCCGCGTGGGGCTCTGTGCTGACCGCTCAGAGCCTGGAGCCTGTTTCAGATTCTGTGTGTGTGTCTCTCTCTCTCTGACCCTCCCCCATTCATGCTCTGTCTCTCTCTGTCTCTCTCTGTCTCAAAAAAAAAATAAACGTTAAAAAATAATTTAAAAAATTAGCATATATATGTAAAGAGGCTGTAAATTAAAGTGGATAAATAAATAAATAAAAAGAGATGCCTGAGTGGCTCAGTCGGTTGAGCATCTGACTCTTGATTTTGGCTCAAGTCATGATCCCAGGGTTGTGGGATTGAGCCCTGTGTTGGGCTCCATGTTGAGCGTGGAGCTGCTTAAGATTGTCTTTATTTCCCCCTTTGCCTCTTTCCCCTGCTCATGCTCTCTAAATAAACAAATAAATAAAATTAGCATATATTACCAATTACCAGTAAATAAATATAGCTACAAACGGTAAGAAATTTTCTTAAATTTTGGTGTTTATGTTTGAAGTATGAAATTTTGTTTTGAGGTTTTGACCTTTTCTACAGTCAGATAATTTATGTTAATATGCTACAGAGGTGAGAGTAAATTAAATCAAACAAAAACCCAATGACACTGAGAGTTTTATTTCTCTGCAGCACAAAATGTATGTATGTGTGTACACACACACACACACACACACACACACATAAACAGCACCTCAACTTCTCAGATTTCTAGATTGGGACCAATGTCTATATATCTGCTACTGGTTAATCATTTTATTGCACTTTATTTTCACATTTGACATATAAAAGGTGAAAGCAATGAATTTTGTTCCACACTTTGATTCCATGACATCTTTCAATATGGTCATAAAATGAAGACTGGTACAAATCTACTTACCTTGGCATTAAATTTGGCTACGAAATCAAAGTGTTTCTTCAGGTCAGTGGCCAAAATTGCTTCAATGACGAGGAAACGAAAATGCTTAAATTCCACATGGTCAAGATTAACTAAGAAGTTGTACTCTGGCCGGGACATGAAAAGATTCCATGCAGCAGCTGCATGATGGTTCTCCAAAACTGAACGATCATTATAGAGCACCGCCTAAGCAAATAAGTAAGAGACTGAAGAGTTCAACTTTTAAATTAAAAAAAAAAAAAATAATAATAATACATGAGTATGCAAAGCTTTTGGAATTCTCTTTTTTCACAGAACACAGAAATTTAATCTTGTGACTGTTGGTTATTAAGAATTATATATTGTAATTACATTGATTGATGGTTACTTTTCTTGGTTAAATTTCCTTTTTTATAAGATGAAGTTCATTTCCTTGAACTTTTTATTCTAAACTCTTGCAAATGAGGGGCTTAGAGTTAGCTTTTATCAGATTTCTTTGCACAGGAATTTAACTATTTAAAACAATCCAAATACACTAAAATCCCTAGGAGGTAACTCAGTTACTTTCTGCATCTAGAGTAAGAATTACCTTTTCTTAAACATATATAACTAATACATACGAATGGAATCCCTGAAAAGCTCATAATTTAAAACATTCTCACCTCACAAGCAGCCATTGAAAACATCATCCTTAAAGTAGTAATTGAAGGTATATAATAAATATCTGCTTGGAATTCTCTAATAATGCTCAAGGACATTGCAAAAGAGAAGGAAGTTGCCTAAAAACTGCTTGAAGGTTAGTGTGTCAGATAGATGACAATACAGGGTTAAAAGGCATAAGGATAAAAAGGAGAGCCTGAGCACATGAAAATTTACATTGAACTAAGTAAAAATGCATACATGTGTAGAAAAATATGCATGACAAATGGTGCTGGCAAAATGATTTGCCCATCTTTAGGGAAAATAATTTTGGGGTAAGAAGGACATGTTGGAATAAGTTTAAAATAAGTAGGCAAAAAATATCAGCATACTTTTTTAACATATAGATTAGAGGAAAATCTAGTCTAGTCTATATGACAGGTGGAAATGGATAGGGGTTGGGTAAAGGACAAAAATCAAACAAGAAAAAAACAAAAAATGTATGAGACCAGATTGTCTTCTAGATCCTCTAGAAAGAAAAACAGGATCTCAGAATACTTAGTAACATGGATCCAGCTAATTAAATGAAGGAGAAACTTACTGAGTTTAATTGTATAAATGGAGATGCTGAGATAGTGATTAATTTTTGACTTAACTTTAAATATATATGAAAATGAACTTCTTTAAAGTTATTGTTTTTGGAATACTATGTTCAGATAAAAAAATTCCTTCAAATGAATGAAATAAGTTGATGTTTAAATTCTAATCAATAGAAATGTCATAAGAATCATGGTTGTTATAATGAATATATCTCAAATGAATAGGATTTATATACAAATAAGCCCCATATTCTTAAAAGTCCAAGAAAGGCTGGGTTCTCTAATCTTTCCAAAAAAGAGACTTTAGTATAGGTTTGATTTTCTTTGTTGAGAAGGTTCACTAATATGAATTCAACTAGCTTTTCTTCTTAAGAAAACTGAGAAGGGAGTCCCATGGGTAATAAAGTTGCATGCCTGCCATTAATATCTTGGAACAAACATGATATATTTTCAAAATTAGCTTGGTCTGTAAGAATTTTTTCCTAGGGCTAAATATAGCTTGGCTCATATTCATTTGGTCCCTATTATAAGTCAAATTTATAAAATAAATTTCCTTTGGAAAAATCTCTAAATTGAATTATCTCTTGTAATCAAAATTGAAAGATTTACCTGAGGAGCACTAGTTGCAACCAGGAAAGCATTAGTCCTTCCTGGGTGATCATAATCATGCATGGCTGCAGCTACATACAGGGCCATTAACTCTAAGGCAGGGATATTTCCAGAGAGACATCCGTATTTATCATCAGGCACATTATACATTTTTGAGAATACATATCCCATATGTCCATGTGTAAACCCACTGTCAGAATCTGAGAAGAGAAAATGAAAGTAACAGAAAGTTTTAAAAAGTATTAAAGCGATACCATTTGTCTTGACTTCCTTTTTTAAAGAAATACTTTCCCCCCCACAGTTACAAAGAAGCACAGATATACTTAACACGTACCTGAATCACTTGCTGATCCGTGATCATTAATCACAGTTGAGTGGCCTGGAATAGGTTGTGTAGTAAGATACCAAACAGCATGTAAGACGTCAGTGGCATGGATTCTGTTATGATCTTTAACCAATGCAAAGGGAACAGTCATTAATTTGTGAACTTGGGGTCCAAGGACTAAGAGTGCCATCTACTGGATAAACATTTTAGTCTGAACATTTTAATACCCCAGCAAAAAGCAGCCAAACATTCAAGGACAAATACTCTTTGATTACTCTTCCATTACTCCAAAATATCCATAGTGACAAGAAAAAAAAAAAAAAGCACACACAACATTCATTATTCACGCAGATGTCTGAAGTGGAAAAATCTGTGTGCAGAGTCTACCAGAAACTTAACATATAAAGAAAACTCACTATGTGAAACCCCTGTAATGTTTACCTTTATATGTATTTCCATGCTCCTATAAGATTATGCAGAGGACCAAAATAAAAGAAAGACCCGTGACATACTTCAAATAGGTCAGATCAATGGCCTATATCACCCAATATCTCATCTCTGATAAATAGCATGCAAATATATTCTGTGAATAAAACATAGTACTATTCTTTTGTATCAAACTTAAAACACTGGTTAAAAGTTACTAATATATCTTTTATATGTAGATTAAAGCAAAAATCAAGAACAAGAATCAATGATGTTCAGTTTGGGAATACAGCTCTAGGACATACCTACAGAGAAAAATAAAAGCCTCTTTGTACATTAATGTAGGGAGTTGAGTCATTGACCATACAGCAAAATCTATGGGAAAACCATCCTCTAGTTAACAATGTCATTATCACAGGAAGGGGGTCTATTCTATGTGTGCACCTCAGCTTCTACTGAACCGTGACAAAAGGCCCGGTGTGCTCTTGGCTCACCTTCTTTTTCTGGTGCAATCCTTCCAAGTTTTTCTCTTGTCTACTGGCCCTTCATAGTATTTCATTGAGTGCTATGCCTTACCCTAAGTCTACTAACTTTACATACTTTATTTCCAATGACCAACGATCATACAGTCTCCTCCAATATAGATTATATCTCTGAATAATACTCAACAGATGAAGAGAAAAGAGAGAGAGAAAAGTAAGAATAATAATGGGACTTGGAGAGAAACATCTGGTCCCTGTTCAGGGAAGAAAGAAAAAACTGACGCTGTGTTGGTGGGCACACGGAGGGAATGTGTGGAGATAGTGCCTATTCTCCTACACTTCTGGTGACTGTTAAGAGTCCGTCTTTATGTGAGGACATGTAGCTAGATCTTACGTAAACACCCCAGCAATTCAGTCTTGTGAGGACTTGAGAAGACGTGTTCAGAAGAGCTTTGAGAAACAGATAACCCAGGCTCCAAAGGAGGAAAAGAGGAAAACCTGTGCCCTTTGCCATTGCCAGATATTATCTAGTGCCCTCAAGAACAACTGTATTGAAACTGGAGTCTGTATCTCTGCATATGGACTATCTCAAGTCATCCAAGGCCATTATATTTTACATCCACACCTGTGCCATGTACAAAATTGATCACACTAAACGTTTCTGGATTTAGGTGAGATCTGATTTTGTCTCTTTTCTGATAGTATTACGTGGGTTACCTTAAGTGAGTTAAAATTCTCAGTCTCATTTCCTAATCTTGAAAGTATAGACATATTAAATAATGGTGCCTTATTATAGCACAATGGTACAATTGTGAGAATTACAGAAGACGTCTTTTTAAACTCCTGACACATAGTAAGCTTGCAGTTAATATAAATATAATTCACATAAAATAAATTATTGCTGTTGGAACAAGATGATACAGATCACCAATTTTCTTCCAAAATCCATCCTGGATTTGTTAAACACTGAAGACCTAAAAATAACAGCTATGCTAAACCCTTGGGGGACAGAGAAGGCAGTGATGTTCCAGTAGAGGAAGAAACTGCCCAGGCTGCCACTGTTAGGGGATATATCAGGAGAGAGCTTCTAAGTTTTTTTCTCCCCCTTTGTGGCAAACTGGGAAAATGACTGTTTGCAAGTAGTTCCCAGTCCTCTTCCAAGTCACAGAAACCTGTGTATGCACCCAGCATCATGAAGGGCGGATGGGGGCAGGATCAGGGTGTTGGCAGAGTCTGTTTGGGGTGACAGACAACATCAAGTACAGATAAACCTGTGGAGTTACTGCTTCCTGCCCTATTCCCCACCCCAAGTCCCAGGGCCAGAAGGCTTCACAGGTAACTTCTGTGAGTTTTCAATGAATAATCTTATCTAAATAATCTGGTACTGAAAATATAAAAAAGGAGGGAAGCTGCCCGACTCATTTTATGAGGCTAGAATAATCTTGATTTAAAAATTAGGTAAAGACAGTATATGGAAATAAATACCCCCTGTGCTCTTGAATATAGGTTCAGAAATACTTAAAACAATAGCTAACCAAACCTAACTCCTTAAAAAAAACATCTCCAGTTATGCATGTGTAGATCCAGAAGAATAACACTGTCACTGTCATATATGCAGGATAGAAAATCACCTGCCTTCTAAGCAGTCAATAACATGTTTATTAAATAAACATTTACTTAGCACGTATTATGTGCAAGTATTGTGTCAAGTGCTAATATTGCTGCTGTTCTCGCCATCAGCTTTCTGATGACCAACTCAGGAGCAAAGGCACCCAGGAAATAACCCAGCTAGGTCCACATAGGGGATTTTGTAGGACACACAAACATGCTTAAATATTCCTCTTCTTGTAGGCAACTGAGAGGGATAAGTAACAGTATCAGAGCTATCATTACTGTCATCCTTCTTCCTTCATCTCTGCATTTTGGACAAACCTCCAACCCCCTCGGTGGTTCCCCCTCCCATCTGGTAAGCCCCTCTGCCTCTCGGACAACACATAAACGCACATGCACACACAATAACACATAATAGGCCCCATCTCATACCCAAAGCCTGTCCATCTCCCTCTTCTGTCTTGAGACACTTGTTTTCTCAACTTTCTCCTGATCCCTCAAGCACAGAGTTGAAGCAAACTGGCGTGGAGGGTTGGAGTTATATGTAAAATTCATACATTTTTAGACCTATAGATTTTCAATTTAAAATTCTATGTGCCGATGGAAAAGTGTTAAAAGAAGAAAAGTGACAATGTAAATATTTTCCCCTTTGGAATATAGCAAACACTGTAATATTTCTGCCTTTCCAGCTTATGCTGCGTCACCTCAGGATCTACTTTAGAATTGGTGGGCACATGACATAGAGCTCGGCTGAACTGAACTGAACACAGATTGAGCAAGGTTATTCTCTTACTGCCATTAAATAGTACCTGATCACAGGTATTTCTGAGACATCGTACCCATTTCTCCAACTTCAGTAACAAGAATGAGAGGTGTTAGGTAACATATATTTTAGAGATGAAATTCACCGAAAAGAGAAAAAGCACTCTCAAAAGTAACTTTGAATTTACTAATGAATATCACCTGATAATTTATCTTCTTTACCTGCCAGTATGCCCAATTGAAAAGGACTGTGAACAATATTAAACATTATCTCTCTGTGCAATTGAATATAAACTATACCTTAATCTATCCAAATCTTTACTGAGCAAGTATATATTTGGTATCATATTTCTGTCAGTGAGTTGCCTACATCTATACCTTGTCATATCTACCTAGCTACCCATGTCTATTTTATTTTTTTTTAAAGTTTATTTAGTGTGTATGTGTATGTGAGAGAGAGAGAGAGAAAGAGAGAGAGAGAGAGAGAAAGAGAGAGAGAGAGAGAAAGAGAGAGAGAGAGAGAACTGGGGGGGGGGGCACCAGCAGGGGAGGGGCAGAGAGAGAGGGAGACAGAGGATCCAAAGCAGGCTCCACGCTGACAATGGAGAGCCCGACGCAGGGCTCGAACCCACAAACTGTGAGATCATGACCTGAGCCGAAGTCGGGATATTTAACCGACTGAGCCACCAGTCGCCCCTATTTTTAAATCTAGATTCTTCAAATTTTAATAAGGGTTCTGGGTACAAATTTAAAATATTTTTGGGTACCTGGGTGGCTTAGTCAGTTGAGCATCCAACTCTTGATTTAGGGTCATGATCTGAGGATTGGGGGATCAAGCCCTGTGTGGGGCTCTCCGTTGTCAGTGTGGGAGCCTGCTTGAGATTCTGTCCGCTCCTCTCCCCTCTCATGCTCTCAACCAATAAATCAATCAATAAATGCTTTCACATTTTCCCGCTTCTTTTAAAAATTATTAAAGGTGTACTTAGAAGTCTAATACAGTTTAGTTTCTATTATTTTAGGTGACTGTCATATTAAAGTTAATCTAACCCATTTTAGTTACTCTTGAGCTTTTTCATTTAGGTATGGGTTTATTTAGATAGAGCTATTAGAAACATAGTTCTCCAGGAATATGTATTAAAGTTAAGGACACATAAAACAAATTTTTATGTAACATAATTATAATTAATGGTAAACAAAGCTTTTAATAAATATCTATATTAGTTGAAATTTACAACACAACCACATGCAAAGAATTACTATTGAAAAGTGATCACCAATCAAGCTAAAACTTTCCTGTGAGAAGATATCAGTGAATTCCCTTTATGGAAAGTGTCTGGGACTCCTAATAGAATAGGCAGGTTTATAATAAACAAATTCTTTTCACATGGAATGAAGAACCCACTCTTTCAGGGAAAAAATCCATTCACTTGTAAAATAAAAAACTATAAGCATGAATAATAAAATTTAGACTCTGGAAACTTCTTTATACACTTAAATACTAGTCAACTTTCCCTATGATTTAATGACACACTGTCTAGAGAAAAGTTAGTAGTTATTATATCAATTTGTACTCCATGGACTTGGCTATCACTGATTATGTTACTAAAATATATTTGGAAATACAGCAATTTGTAAATTTAGTCTGGTGACTAGCTGTTGAAAAATCAGTAACACTTATGTCAATCACTGGCATCCAACCAGGGGAGCCCTGGGAAAAGGGTATTAAGAAAGCAAGGCTTATCTTGAGATCCTTTCAACTACCCCTTGTTCATATTTCTCTCTCAATTTCCATGGCCCTATTGGCCAGACCTTAAGTTCTTAAGTTCCTCTTTCCTCTACACCCACTGTCCTGTTTTGCCTGCATTTGGGTCCCATATTCTCCAACAATCTCATTGTGGATCCAATTCTTCATTCTCTTTTCCTATCACATGCCATTAGGTGTGCATTTTTGTTCCAATCAGATGGCATTTTGAAAAACAATATGTTAATAATGGATCACTAGTTTAACGTCTGGAAATACCTGTACTTTATTTGTCTGCATGGAATTTTTATTTAACTTCAGCTCTTTGCAACTAGAAAAAGACATGGGATTCTAAAGTCTAAGGCGTATAAAAGAAAATTTAAAACTTAAAACTTAGAACATGATTTGAACAACACATTTCTAAGACATGCCTCAACCAATATATGATGTCTATTTCTCTTGTTGTATGCCATTTATTTTCTAAAAGTACCACGTGATTTCTGCACATTTTCACAATTTCTATGACTGGGTTTTTGGACATTTTCTTCCATTCCATATATTTTGTAGCATTTAGGATGATGTTCAGATGAAACCTGCAATGCTCCATATCGGAAATTTAACATCTTCCCTCTGTTCTATTTTGCATTATTATAAATCACAAACTATGCTCATAATATTTAAAGTTCACAAACATGAACACTTGGTTCACAAAATCTTCCTTTGGTCTTCACATTTATCTGATTTTAAAGGCTTCTAATAATTTCTTTGCAACCACTTAGGAGTGCCTCTTGTGTATTTTATTAATTATACCATCACCCACCTGTCCCTCAACACCCAGGCAGGTTTTTGTTATATTCAAGAATATCAAGAGTTAATGTTTTAACTCTGCAGATGCCAGAACAAAAGTTGAACTCACCCAATAAAAGGAGTACGTAATAAAATGAGCAATAAATTTAACATTTAATTATTTGTGGGGCACACACTTAATTGTCTTACTAGGTGAAGGCACTATTATAACTCCTTTAGAATTATTACCTCATTTTACCCTCATAACAATCCTACAAAGCAGATATTATGATCCCCATTTTACAGATTGAGAAATGAGGCATGCAGAGGTTAAGTAAGACCCATGGTCTTCCACAGCTGATAAATGTAGGGGCTGGGATTCTGAAACAGGCTATTCTCTCCTAATCACTATAGCATGTGGCCACACACTGTGTTTACTATGAGGAATTCTCTGCTAGCTACTAACCATTCAATATCCCACTACCCACAGCAAATTTGACAGATTTTAAAGTGTTATTTCACAAATAACTTATACTTACAAGGAATTTCCCTGTATCCGATCTCCAAAGCATGAAAATAATTCATAAATTCCCTAACTGGAATTTTGAAAGCTTCAAAGAGGCCCATGTCTTCAAAAAGTCTGTATGATACCTATAAACAGAAGCACAAGCTTTATAAAACATCAAATAATCCATAGCTGGTAGAGACACCTGTTGGGAATAATAAGTCAAGTAACTATCGAGGAACTCTGTGTGTCTAGCCCTTGCAGTCCCTGACCACAAGGGGCATTTCATCTGTTTTTAAAGGTGGGGACATGCAACCAAGAAAACAGCCAACTCAAACAACAGTATATACACTGCAGAAACATATCAAGGCAATCAATTGTGTGTGATATCAACTGCTAGGCAACACTACTTCCTAAATTGTTGACTGCCAAGTGCATAACATAAGCAGTAACAAATGAGAAAAGGCTTTAATTTGACTAATTTTTATTGAAAAAGAAATTCCAGAGGATAAAGGATTCATAGCTGTACCTTAGAGAAGGGGAAAGAATTATGAGAGAGAAAAAGGGTTACCTTGACTAAATGTAAAGAGAAACCAATTTATTCTACTTCAGTATAAATGCCATCTAAATTATTTTTTCCTCACATGTCTTCTCTTTCTCCTCCAAATATCTATTCTCCTTTCAGTTGCATTCACAGCTCTGGCGACTCAAAGTCAGTGAATACCTTTGCATGCAATTGGCATGTTTGACAGGCAAATGATGGAGAAAAAAATGATAAAGGCACAGGCGGTAATGGGGAGAGAAATGGTTATTCACATGGCAGAATGGAGGACAGCACCATTTCAAGTGGCCTTACTTCGTATCACAAAGGTACAGAGTTGGTTATAACTCAGGAGACTTTATGAAAGAATTATTCATCATTTTTATTATCTGCATCTCTTCTTAAAATTGTCTTGAAATATTTCTTCCAAAGCTTTGATATATTGTTTCATAAATTTCTATCTTTTGTCATTTGACTTTAAATTTATTTAAACTTATTTAAAGTCAATGACATTCCATTTTGAAGCTTATTTAATTTGAGAGAGAGAGAGAGAGAAAGACAGTGGGTGAGAGGGGGAGGAGCAGAGAGAGAAGGAGACAGAGAATCCCAAGCAGGCTCCATGCTGTCAGCGCAGAGCCTGATGAGGGGCTTGAACCCATAAACCATGAGATCTTGACCCGAGCTGCAATCAAGAGTCAGATGCTAATCCAACTGAGCCACCCAGGTGCCCCTCAATGATATTCCTTTAATTATGTACTCAGTGTTTAACATACGTGTGTGTGTGTGTGTGTGTGTGTGTGTGTGTGTGTGTGTGTATAAAGGAATTTCTATCTAAAATGAAACAGAAGGATATAAAAAAAAAAGTCTCACACATGTGCTGTCAGAAAAATACAATTTAAAGACAGACTGATTTCCCATAAATGACTGATTTACAAAAAAAGTGGTAACACTGGAATTTTCTTAAGTGATAGGTAGTTGATCAAGAGTTGCCTCGTATCAACCTTGGGAAGTTGTACTTATGGTTTCCAGAGGTGTGAACAAGGAATGGTCAGGGTCGGGCTGGTCTCACAAAATAAACTGACTTGAGCTTTGTTTGTATGACTGCACTGGTTTCGTCTGCTTGAGGAATTTTCAAACCTGGTCCCATTTGTTTTTTATTTTAACAGTCTCTAATTGAACTATCCCCTTTTTACATTTCCTGCCCATAGATAACAGCCCACCCCAAACCTTCAAGGGACTCATGATAGTTTGCTATAGTTTGCATATCCGAAATCGCAGTACGCCTGTTATTCCTGAATAAACTCATCTTTTTGACAACTTTGAGCTTGCCTCGGTTTACTTCTTTAGGCTGGCATAACTAAAAAGGAGAGTTATTCATTCAGCATATATCTATTGAGCCCTTACCACGTTCCAGACAATTTTCTGCATATGAGGCATATATACAGGTAAACAAAACAAAGATCTCTTCCTTCAGGGAGCCTACGGTCTAGCAGGGAAGGGAAGTAAACAGCAGATATAATAAGGTATACACTATGACAAAAAGTAGTAAGTAATATGTAAAAAAAAAAAGTGGGGGGAGCAGGGGTGGAGGACTGAGAATACCAGGAAAGCTATGGAATTTGCTTTTTTAAGTATGGTGGTTAGAGCAGACATATCCAAGGTGACATTTGAGTAAACAATTGAAGGATATGTAGACTGAAGTACACGGATATCTGAGAAAAGAGTTTTTCATACAGAGAAAAAGGCCTGTGCAAAGGCCCTGAGGTATGCTTGCCGTGCTCAAGAAAGAGCAAGAAGGCCAGCATGGCTAAAACAGAATGAATGAGGACAGGAGTAGAATTTATGTTAGTAACAGCAGAGTGGGATTGGGCAGGATGCAATGTTGGGGGTTTGACAGCTAGACTGACCATTATAAGATTTTTACTCTAAGTGAGGTAGGGAAACCCTGGAAGAGATTAGAGCAGGGAAGTAACTTTATTTGGCTTATGTTTTAAAAGCATCACCGTAGCTGCTGCTGGAAACAGATTATACCCTAGGTACATCAACTTCTATATGCTTTTCTCCACTCTGAATGGCAAGTACATTGAGGTTTTACCTTTTTGTTTGGAACATAACATCCACACCTCCTCTCTTTAAAAATGCAACAGAAAGTGAAGTTAAGGTTTCTGTAATATTTCAAGCTGTTTTTTTTTTTTTTTTTTTTTTTTTTTTTTTTTTTTTTTTTTTGTTAAGTTAGCTCCTCTTTACTACTGCTTTAGTCTGTATATGAGTTCTCGCTTATAAATACCTAAAGGGCTTAACTATGCATGTTACTTCAGGGACCTGTCCGAGATCACACAGCTGACATTTTCAGAACCAAAATTCAAGCCAAGCCTTTTTTGGCTCCAAATTCTGTGCTCTAAACTGTGTTAGATCCTACCACTGGTATGTGAAAAGCAATGTTTTTAAGATTGCAAATAACTAAAGTTTCCCATTACTCTCTTAAACATTTGAAAGATGAATTGAAAAAATTAAGACAACAGGATATCTTAGAGTATGGTTTTAAAATAGAAGAATTTTCACTAAGATGCCATTACAAATCAACCACTAATAATTTAAACTACAAGTAAAGATTCCATTAACCAGGTAAATACTGGTAACTGGAAAAAGCAAGCACTTTTCTGAAATCTGAACCATGCCCTTTTAAATTTGTTAAAGTAAATATGATAGTCATCAAAAAGGCAGTCAGTATATTGAGACTGAAAAGTCATTTCCATTGCACATATGTCTCTTTAAAAATCTTTTGAAGTGAGATTTTTTTCTGTGTAGTTTCAGCCAAAAGGTGATTTCTCGGAATGTTCAAGTTAATTCATTTCAGCTGTCCCAAAAGTCTTACTAGGGTAAAAAAAAAAAAAAATATGCCTTTCACACAGTGAAAATTTCATGATTTTGCGCTTATAAACTCCAATCAAAGAAAAAAAATCTCATAAAGTTCTACTCAGCAAGACAAATAAAACTGCATTTTCTCAAAGTTCAATGTTTTGTAAACCGGAAAGATAAAATAGTGACGTACTAAGGATCATGTAGTTATGTATTTATTTTTGAAAGATGACTGGAAAAAAAAAACATTAGTGAATTTTACTGCAATCTAATTGTTCACTACATCTAATTTTTCCGTTGTGTACTCCTATCCAGGACTCTTACAAAACATTTTGTGGCAAAGCTGGTCAAGGGTCACATTCCCACCCCTTGTTCCCAGAAATTAAAGGGGAGCTAGGTACTTGGAACAGTATTTGCTAGACTGTCACTGTAGCTAAGAAACCAACTACTACAATAACCATTTTCCCACTGGCTCAAGCTCTCTGTTCCCAGTTTGAAGACAGAATAAGTGAATGTTTTATGAGGGGCTGAGAAACAGCTGAAGGTAAACAAAAGTCAACAGGATGGATTTCCTGGGGCACCTGAGTGGCTCAGTCATTTGAGCGTCTGACTTTTGATTTCAGAGCAGGTCAGGTCATGATCTGATCTCATGGTTCCTGAGTTCGAGCCCCGGGCTCTGTACCGACAGTGCGGAACCTGTTTGGGATTCATTCTCTCTCTCTCTCTCTCTCTCCCCCCCTCCCCTGCTCTCACTCTCTCTCTCTCTCAAAATGAATAAATAAACTTAAAAAAATAAGTATGGGTTTCAAATCACAGGTCCGATATTTACTATATAACTAGATGAATGGGATATGCTGTTTTAAGCCTTGGTTTCCTTTTCTGAAAAACAGATTAGACAGAATACCTGCATCAACGTTACTGAGAGGATTCAATTGCAGAGCTTGGGGGAGTCTGTGACATACATATCAAATACCAAACAATGTGAAAATGTTCTCTTCACAGGAAACACACACTGCAGTGAAAGGGAAAGCAGAGTTCTGGGCCCACTGCCATCTCCTCTTGCTGTGCCATTCCAGGGGTATTTCCAGGTAAGATCCTTCCCTCAGAGGTGCAGTCTGCAAGGGGGTTCAGAAAGTGGGATACAAAATCTCCCAGGAGGAGTCCCGAGGTGTGAGGTGAAGGTGGACTGGATAAAAACAGCTGCCCTTAAAGCTGTCTTCACGATCACCTAGCATAAAAGAGGTTGCTTAGCACTGAGGAGAAGGAAAGAGGAGAAAATGGGCCCACTAACTCCTAGGAAAGGTGCAAGGGCTGTCACCCTAGGTCTCACAGTGTTCATGGTTAGAAGACAGTTTAGCAGAGGCAACTACACGGCACACAGACCATATAATTATTTTGACCTTCATAAGCCATCAATCATTTTAGCACACTTTTCTGCGTAGGAAGTTGAACTGCCATTATTTTGACACATATCTAACTTCCCTACTAGTCCCTTTAAGGCACAGACCTACTTTTCCTTCTTGAAGACTAGCCTAGTACTTTGTATTTGTGGATCTGAAAAACAGAGGAAAGGCCCCTCTATCATCTTCCTTCAAACCTTCAGGGATCAGGAATCCTCACCCTGAAACTCCACACTTAAGATACTTGTTGAGAAGTCTGAAGAAAGCCTGTCTCTGATGCATGGAGTAGAAATCAGTATGACACGTGATTTCTCTTCTAGTGTTTTCCAGGGAAATGTTGGTGGCTCCAAAAATCTGGGTCTTGAATTCTACGTCTCATATTAATTTGGTGGTCTTTAGCATCTCTGCTGTGATATTTAGTCAATCTATGAGAACACATTTGAAGCATTTTACATAAGCTGATAAATATTATTGTATTAGCCCCTTTCATTGAGGGTGTGTTCTGAGAGGTGTTTGATAACAGAACAATTCCAGTGTTTTGTTTTGTTTTTTCATTTATTGAGGTCATACTCAAATTCTTAATTTCTGTGTTTTCTTTCTCCTTCAAGGACACCAATTTATATATTTTTTAATGTGGAAAGTCTTGAAAGTTGTCTAGCTTAAGGAAAATATACAAAAAGTCTTGTTAACTAGCAATAGTTCATAGTCTATTTCTTGTGATACTTAATGGTGTCTTCTATATTAGAACAGAGAACTCTGATATGTTTCTCACAGCAATGGAAGGAAATGTGTTTCTGCACAATTTTAGGTCTTTTGGTAAGACCTAAACACTGAAATATTAAAAAAAAAATTAAAAACTAGTCATTGGAAAAAATTATAGACAATAAATTACTATTTATTATTAGGTAGCTTTCTTATCTTGAGGGCTTGTATCAGCTTTTATTTCTTTTGTCCCTGTTCCTCTCCACTGTCTTAAAAACTACGTATTTTAATTGTACATTATGGTATTCACTCACTTGAAATTCCAACTTCTTTTGTTGACCCACTACCAAGGAATCTACAGAATGTGAGGTACTAAAATTTCCTTTTTCCACCTGAAGTCCACCACCAGTGTCAAGCATGTACAGAGCTTTAACCAACCAAGGGTTTTTTTTTTTTTTTTTTTTTTTTTTTTTTTTTTTTTTTCCTACATTTAAAGTCACACGTATGAATGCATTCCTTACCTGGCTAAGAATACGGCCACATTTTCTTCCTATTTTTTCCACCAAATCAAAAATTGGAAAATTCCAAGTATTTAGCTGCTCCATAATTGAGTCCAAGTTATCCATGACAAGAGGTTCAGGAGCAAGAACTGGTTTGTCCTATAATGAAGAAGAAAATATTTTAAGAACATGTAATTTTTTTCTACGAAGCAATTTGTGCTTTGTTCAACAACTGAGTTTATAAAAATAAATGACTTAAAACTTCAGGGTGAATGAATGATCTTAAAAAAAAAAAAAAGCAAGGTGAATAAGACATTGGTCCCAAAGTAAGGAGAGAAGGTCCTAATGCTGTTTCATACCATGAATTTTGCGTATTAGGTGCCTGCCTATTGCTGGTTCATATATGCCACAGAAAAAAAATGGATGTTTCTTTCCTAATAGAACTGTTTTTCACCTACTATGGGATTCTTCAATAAAGACTAAAGGACTTTAGGATGCTCTGAAATTGTATATAAATTTATCTCTTTAGAAGTATATGTAAATTTTTCTGGGAGGGTTCCTGGTTTATATTGGACTTTCAAGAGAAACCCATGATGGGGGAGGAGTCAATCACCCCCTACTCGGCCAAATTTATATTATTGTTTCAAAATCAGCATTAATCCTATGATAACTGCCACATTTTTCACTATTTTTATTTAATTCATGTGATGTATGGTTTATAAAGAAACCCGCACTAAAGAAATGTAAAGACATTTTACAGTATGTTCTAAATGAGGATATTCTTAAGAGTACATTTACCAAAAGGTAAAAGTAAAAAATGATAGTGAGGATTAGGAAACATGGAAATTACATTATCTGACAATCTCTTTAAATTAAAAGTATAAATGGTAACTCAGGTAAAATAAAAATGATAATAGCAACAATGAATAATTACATGACAGTGAACTATTTTCTACTATTTGCTGCCTCCCCATGATTAATCAGACTCAAACGTATGCTTTTATCTTCTTTAAAAGGATCTCTATAAACACCCCAAATCAGTCATCATTAAAGGATATTTTAACGGGTAGAAAGTGTCAGTATAAATCTAGCTTAATACAATAAGGAAAATAAATATTGGCATGCTTTCTAAACAAAGGAAGTGCTAGGAAAAAGTAGCAGAAGCCCTAAGACAACTAACATATTTCACTTTTACTGATGTTTATAAAATATTTTTTATTGGATGAAATAATTTTTTTTCTATGCACTTTTAGATTTACATTTTTAGATTCTAGGATTAAACACCTGTAATCACTTGTGGACATGAATATTTATGGTTTTAATCACTAAACAATAGAATCATTAAGAGATTGATATACTTGCATAAGGAAAACATACACTGACACACATAGGTATGGTTATAACAATGTGTGTTCCAAAAGAGATATATCTGTAAATCTAACGACTCAGGGATCTGTTTCTAAGTCAATTTCTGTAACAGAAGGCAATCTCTCAAGTAAATGAATGAGCGCAGTGATATGGGGCTACCAGGAATATCATGGTCTCAGACGTGTAGGTGCCACAAGCCGAAGCTTTCCTTAGAGGCTCTCTCGGGCACTCAGTCTCATCTTCATTCTGTACAATATCACTGCTATCGCTGTTGTTATTGGTTTCATAATCAGAGGTAACTTGAGTAGTGTCATCTGCAATTACAAGAGAACAGATTATGATGAAACCTGCAAATGGAAAAAGGGGTCCTATGTGAGCGCATATTCCTAAGCGAGTAGGGAAATAACTGCTTTCATGAGCTGACACACCAAGAAGGTGAGATCATGAAATGGAGAAAAGTACACATTTTTTTAACCCAAGAAAATAGACAGAATTATGACCTGTGGTTTATATTACGCTCAGTAATTCCTCAGTAATAATATGTAGATCAGCAGTTTATACTTTTTACAAATCATATAACATTATGTTCCTTTTTCCTTTATGCATCTGCCAACATATTAAACCAGCAAGTAGCTGACAAAACACTAACTCCAGAATGGGCACATGGTAGAAGTTAGCTGACACCTGAGAACAAGGTGGTGTCTGTGGGACATGGCACAGTAGCATGTGCTGAAGGACTGGGGACATCTTGTGTGTCCAATCTCCATAGGAAGCTGTGGCTTTCCTCCTTAGATGCCTCCTTCCACTGTCTCCCATTTCAATCAGCACTAAACTATGCTAACCAGAGGCCCAATCAGGTAATGTGAACAGTCTGTAGAACATGCTTCTGGGGCAAAGACCTCGAAAGAACCTTCTCATGGCTGAACAAGTGCCTGAATGAAGTTTACTGTGTGAGTGGCCATGTGCTGGACAGCACCGAAAGCACCTTATTTGTACTAACGCCTTTAAACCTACACAATCCTGAGGCGGGTTTTACAGCACATCACTGCATTACTCATATCCTTACTTTGCAGAAAGGAAATGGAGGCACAGAAGGGATAAGTAAATGGCTTAAGGCACACAGCTGGTAAATTTTGCCGCATGACTTTGAACCCATGAAGTCGGACCCAACGTCCTATATTCTTTGCTTTTGATAAAGCCTAGCTTTTTTTTTTTTCTTTTATGGTTATTGCTAACATCCCTATGGAATCTTTGCTTTCTCCTAAGTCACAAATATATCTTCCTCTGTTTTCTTTCAGAACCTTTGTTGTTTTAGCTTTTACATTTAGGTTTATGCTCCACCTCAGGACCATGTTTCATACGGTGTGCAGTAGGGGGTGAAATTCATTTTTTTCCAACCCTCTTGGAATGCTCTGGCATCTTTGTTGAAAATTCAGTGATGGTGTAGACACGGGTCTAATTTGGGGCTTTCTGATCTATTCCATTTGACCTATTTGCTGATCCTTATTCCTGCGCCACACTATCTTGATTACTATAGTTTAAGTCTTGAAGTCAGGTAAAGTATTTCCTCTTTGTTCTCCCTTCTCAGATGCGGATATTCTAGTATTGTTGTATGCCATCATACCTTTACTATCTAATTTTTCTGAAGTTTTTAGCGAATAATGGCTTTTGTTAGGTAGACTATTGCAATCAGGGGTATCTTATAAGACTTTTCCAAGGACCTGCCTTTCTTCCATCTTTCTCATGAAGTTTGTTCTATGTTAGAATGAGACACAGCATGAAAATACAATTGACAAGTTTCAATCTCAGAATTTGTAGAAAAAATGAAGAACACTCAAAGGCCATAGTTCTACATGAGGCCACAAAGGAGATAAGAAACTACTACCCATATTCTATCAGACTCAGTAGAGTCAAAGAATATCAGGGACATAAGGAGGGGATATTCTGAGTCTTCAGAATGCTACAATATCACAGAGAATTCTCCTTTTGAATTTTTCTTGCCTGTGTCCCTTGACATATCTGCTGAAGCAGATAATCATGAACCATTCTTGCATACCTTTATCACCCTAAACTCTGTAGTTCAGAGAAGCCATTTTTTTCCTACCATGTAGATCTTCAGTGCTAACAAAAGCAAGTCCCTAGATCTGCATCAATAAAAATAAAATAATAATTACTGTAGTGATGGCAGCAAACAGTGGGTCACTGTTGACATTACTTACAGTGACCTAGATACTATTAAGTATTTTACTTGATTTTTTTAAATTGAAGTATAGTTGACATAAAATATTGTATTAGTGTCAGGTATACAAAATAGTGATCCAATAATTATATACATTATGCAGTGCTTACCATAAGTGTAGTTACTGTACAGTTATGATATTAGTGACAATATTCCCTTTGCTCTACCTTTCATGCTCATGACTTATTTATCTTATAACTGGAAGTCTGCACCTCGTAATTCCCTTCACCTATTTTGCCCATCCCCTTACTCTATTCCATTCTGGCAATAACATTTTTTCCCTGTAGTTATGAGTTTGTTTCTGTTTGTTTGGTTTTCAGTTTCCACATATAAATGAAATCATGTGTTATTTGTCTTTCTCTGTCTGACTTATTTCACTTAGCATAATAGCCTCTAGGTCTACCCATGTTGTCACAAATGGCAAGATTTCATTATGTTTTTATGGCTGAGTAATATTCTGTCATGTGTTAGGTTGCTTCCATACCTTGGCTGTTGTAAATAATACTGCAGTAAACATAGGAGTGCATATATCTTTTCAAATTAGTGTTTCCATTACATGTTTTAAGTAATTTAATTCTCACAACAATCCTGTCTGGTATGTACTGTTATCATCCACATCCACAGATGAAGGAATTGAGTCACAGAGATTACAATACAAACTAGTAGACAGTCAAATAAAGGTAAAACCAGCCTTGAATGCCTGTGTTCTTTTAACCTGTCCATAACATTGCCTCAAGAAAAAGCCTTTTTACAAGCTTATAGTGATTCTCAGCCTGTAATGGAGATCTCCAGAGAGTTCCCTAAAAGGGATGACCCTTCAGTGTCCAAGATAATATGACATTTCTATATAGTTCTACACATTATATAAAATGACTTCTAGTTTTAAAAATACATACATTTGTGTATAGATATTGAAAACCATTTTGGATAGCTTTGCATCAAAATTTTACCCACGATTAGCTCTTAGGTAGTAGGACTATGGATGATTTTGTCTTCCTTCACTATCTTTTAAAATTTGTTATCTAAAAAATCGGAAATATATGTTACCTTTTTGATCAGAGGAAAAAAAAAAAGTAAAGTGATTTCCATTTTAAGCAAAAGAATCCAAACAAAGAATTACCCGTTCTGCTTGGTGTCCGAATGGTGGCACTGCTTCTCTCCAGGGGCACAGCAGCAGGGGTCCCTTGGGGATATGGCCTGCCACAGCTGAGAAATATTGGAACAGCTGTAAGTATATTCTTTCTTTTCAAAAAGTCACAGGCATACACCATCTATGTACACATGAAGGGCAATAATAATCAAATCTTTCTATCTTCCACTTATTTGATAGAAAACCTCATTTTGCTTTATATACAGATGCTGATATGCTGATATACTGTTTTCTTTTTTGTGAGAATGTCATCAATACAAATGATCAGAAACTCCACTCAACGCTCATCTTCCTCTATAGTCTAGACCATAGTTGAGGTGAAACTACTGGCAAAATTGTTACGTTATTTAGAGAATCCTGGGATTGTCTGCTACCTATTTATAATAATGATTTTGGAGGTGCTGATGCACATTTAGTTAAAAAATGTTTCCCAGTGGAAACCCTTTGTATCTGCTCAAAAGCCTCATTATTAGATTTATTTCTGTGGATTAAGAGACATTTTATGCCCAAGGAGCCCTTTAAGAAAAGATTGCATATGTGAAAATAGAATGTTAGTATGTTAACTTTTTGTCACAAAATAAAAATTAATTTTTTTTAATATTGACCAGTCACTGTTAAGGCCCTAAGGAAATGAAGAAAGTAGAGATACATTTTGATGAAGAGGGAATGTAAAACTGACTATCACAGAACACTAGTTGAGAAAAACAGGCCAAAGGGGTATGTTGTGAGTAACCTAGAAAAAGGAAAATACTTGAGAGACTGGACTCTTTAACAGAGGACTTTGGAGAATGTAGGACACTTACTTTCTCAACACTTTTGACTGTTTCATAAATTAAAAAGCAACCCCACAAATGGTTGGGCAAGTTTCTTCTCTTACTTATCTTGTTTAGAAACTCCATGGTTAGATTTTAATTCTGCCTTTTGCTTATGGGTTCTTTTCTTCTGCCTAATACTACAAATGGTCTTGGACGGTTTTGTTTGTTATTTAACCACAGATTATTCACTCTAAAAGGAAAAGAAATGAAATGGTTCATAATTTAATATATTAAACGTCTCATCACTTTTCTTTCCCCTGAATTGTGCTTAGATATGTGTTGTAGAGGTAAGCATTTTTCTAGGTAGAGAATATTATCATCCTAAGTAAATATATTTTCAAGCCTTAAACGTAAGTGGAAAAGCGTCACATGTGAAATATTTCTAATTATGAAATCCCATCACTTTGATTTAGGGAATCAAAAGAAAATGACTGGACCAAAGTGGGGGAAAAAACAGACACAAATGATGGGCTTACATTCTTGGGTGACACTTGGTAGATGCCGGGTTTATTAGTTTTAAGAATTTTCATTGCAAGATAATACTTAAAAGGAACACTTAAATTAGTAGTCCAAATATACTACCTCTTATGCCAAAAAAATGGCTTGTTGCGTAGACATTACAGCAGCCAAAAGACGGATTCAATGCCAAACCCTTCGAGTTCAGCAGGGGAAACCACAATAATTAGTCGTGTGTTTCTGGAGCTCTCTGTGCCTACATGGGTGGTTGCCTTGAAGGCAATAATAGAACATGGTTTGAATTACAGATTTATAAAGCCCAAACAAATAAAAGACACACTACTGGATTTATAAACATTACTGAAAAAGCAGGCAGTGAAATTATCTTGTTTTTCTCCAAAACCTCTTTTATAAAAATCCCATTAACATTCTTCCTGCTAAATTCACAAAAAATAGACTGTGATGAGAAGAGCTGTGTGAGTGGTAGATCAGAACATCTCTGCTTTCTTTAGGCAACTTATTTCCCACAAGTCTGAAGCCCGCAGTGGGAGAGTCTCCCTAGAAATGCTGGAAGCAGATGTCCTTGATGGTGATTACTCCGCTGAGCTTTGTCTTGGCTTAGGATGCATACCACAAAAACATGTTTCTTAAGGATGTTCCATCAAACACTAGCTCCATGGGAAATTACTGTGTGTTCACCTAAAGAAACTGGTTATGTTGTCAGATATATTCAGGAAATGCTAGATGAGACAAAAATCAAGAGGTTTCTTTTTGCAGGACTTCTCAGAGCTTTTAATAAAGTGATGTGTGTTGTGAATCGCTGAGGGAAATATATATGATAGGTCTGTTTTACCACAGATCATGCTTTGTGTGAGGGGAGGTGGGGGGAAAGATGGAATTAATATTCCACATAAATTATTTCATTAAAAAAGCTGTCATAGAGAGGGTAACAGAATAACTTTTGGATGGTAAAATAACTTTTTACTCTGATCCTGGACTAGGAAACTAACAAAAATGATTTCCCTTTAAAAATATTTGTAAGGAGAAAAGAATATAGTTTTTGAATAAATGATCAGAAAATGAAACGTGTGAAGCTTAAATCTGGGTCTGTGAACCACCAGGTGATAGTAAACTATCAATATGTAAGTCATTTATGCAAATGGTTATCCTCAGTAACCTTAGAAAAGAAATAACACTCTCATGATTATACTTAGTTTAAAAACACTCAGCTTTTGTAGTTAAAAGAATACTGTAATGCTTTAAAACCAGTTCTTCAAGTTGAAGCTATTTCTAGAGAACAATAATATTACTATATCAGTAAAAGAAGGTATTTCCTTCTCAGGACAATGTTGGCAAAATAACTACTCTCACCATGCTAGGCCTTTTTTCTTATCCTCTGTGACAAGACATGACTTCTTATTTCTAATTCTATTTAAAAATGATAGAGCAGTATAAACTGATTGCTTAATTGCATTCAGAGACCCATTTTTGGTCCAACTGTAACGTGTCATGTGTTATTTGCATATTTTCAAAGTGAGAATTGCATGCTTAAGATACCTTAAGATACCTTAAGCATTGCATGCTTAAAATACCCTTAAAATCAATATAAAATCCTCCCTGGATATAAAAATATTCCAACACATGGGGCGCCTGGATGCCTCGGTTGGGTGTCCGACTTCAGCTCAGGTCGTGATCTCACAGTTCATGGGTTCGAGCCCTGTGTTGGGTTCTGTGCTGGCAGCTCGGAGCCTGGAGCCTGCTTCAGATTCTGTGTCTCCCTCTCTCTACCCCTCCCCCACTCACACACACACTCTCTCTCTCAAAAATCAATAAACATTAAAAAAATTTTTTAAAATTCCAACACAATATCCTATTATACTAAATGACTTGATACAATTTTTTACTTACAGGTTTTATGCATTTTCCATCAGTAAGCAGAGGAAATATACAACTAATTATTTTATATCATCTCCAAAGTTTAGCTGTATGGACTGTATGGACTCTAAGCTTTATATTAACAGACAACCACAAAAAAAAAATTAAGTTTCTATTCAACATAAAATACATTATCTTCTACTTTTCCTGTCCATTGCTTTGTCAAACCTCCACATAGCTACGTGGACTGGAGGTAAGTGTTCCTAAGAAGAAAACTAGTATTTGTTTTCTGATGAGTTAAACTCTAGTTAACACGATAAAATCCTTACCTGCTACATATAACAGGTGGAGGGAGGATCTGAGGAGATAGGTCAGGGGCACTCTGAGTATAAGTTAATGCCCTGTGAGAACTTAGGCCCTGTTTGGCAGCTGTGTTGGCAGATTCTGGAAACTGCACTGCAGAAATTTTGCTGACTGGGCTGCTGGCGGGGGTCCCTTGGGGAGGTGAGGAACAGGGCGACGAAAGAGGTGAAATTTTAGCTAGGGCACCTAGAAAGACAAAGATTTATTAAACCACTAAATAATTTTTTTGGAAATTAGAAACTGCAGCTCTTACGCTTCACCTTAGACCCCCTCTCACTCCATCAGGACCACGTGAGCACTCAGGCCATGGGGCTTGCCCTCTCTGCACACCACCATCTGGAGACAAGGTGTATAGTAGGGTGTCTCCATGGCATGAAATGGGAAGAATGGATCATCATGAAAAGATCAGTGGCAATGTTGGCAAGTTGAGCTAAAGCCTTGGTGTCCTGGAGTAACTTCAGGACAGAAGGATATTATTTTCTCCTCCCATCTTTGTTTCTTCTTGTCATTCTGACATAATAATTAAAATTTCCTCGTGTGTTTGCCTTCTCTAAGGTTGAGAAATTTTTAGCAGTAACAGGATCTGCTATTGTTTTAAACATTAACTTATCTGGAGCAGAGTTTGGCAGGTATCTGATGCTTAAAATTCGTAAATAAAGAAGATATATTTTTGACAGGCAATTAACTTTATTAACCATCAACATTTTTAGTGAACCTACGTTATTGGTGTGAGACAGAACTCTGATCAGAATAGTGTCCGTAGAAACCATTTAAAAATGTAATATGATCCATTTCAGATGAAACAAAAGGACTAAAGCCTAAATTTTAAGTGTTGATATCTGTGCCAAAGTGCGTTTACTCTTGATTGTGAAAACTGGCTTAGATTTCAAAGTGCTGATACTTGAGTACAGGGACGAGATCTTTTGAAGTTCCATTCTCCCAAACACAGAGAAGGCAGCCTGCACTGAAAACTGAAGAGAGAACTATCTTCTGAACAGCCATCTGCTTACTGTTTTCCAGCATTTTATGGCTGAACAACCTACTGTAAGGCAAATGAAATGAAATCTTGAGCTGTTTTCTATTTCTCACCACTCAAGGGAAACACACAACAGGAAGCTCTCACATCATTGACTAATATGTGTGGGGAACTCGCAGCCGGCTTAGTTTGCTTCCAACGTCCAGTTCTCTCAAAAGTTTGATATATTACACCTGAAGATTTTTGGGTCCATTGAAAGTAATATTAAGCTTGCTGAAAGGCTTTTGTAATTTTCACATCTCTTGTTGGCATCATTATTTCTTTTGTTTTGTTATACTAGAGGAAAACTGTGCTCTTCCTTTGATAAATGTGGAAGCTGGGAGCCCCTCCTATCCTCCTACTCCTTTCAAATATTTCTGTTGTTGCTTTTTTAAGTTCATTTATTTATTTTCGAGAGAAAGAGAGAGCACAAATGGGGGAGAAGCAGAGAGAGAGGGAGAGGGTGAGAATCCCAAGCAGGTACCATGCTGTCAGTGCAGAGCTGGACTTGGGGCAAGATCCCACAAACCGTGAGATCACGACCTGAGCCAAAATCAAGAGTGACATGCTTAACCCCTTAACCGACTGAGCAACCCAGGCACCTCTCTATTATTGATACTTGATCAGTAGATTAATCACTTGCCCTCATAGGTAAAGAAATCATTCAGACTCAGGTTAAATAACCTTCCCATGGTCACAGTACTAATGAACAGGAGAATATGGAGTGAGTGCAGCTGTTCTTAGTAAAATGTGGTTTTAGCCCATACTTCTATCAGAGGCTGTCCGAGGAGGAAGACGAATCCATGATCTGCTAGACAGCATCTGTACTGCACTTAACAACATGCCTAAGGGTTTTTATACTGACTTCTATGTCTTTGGAAAAGATTTAGCTATTTTACCAAAGACACTGACAAACCTACACAACATATAATCTCCTAAACAAACAAAACAAAAACTTCACTTAAGTCTTAGAGTTTCCCAACAAATCTATCATTGTGTGCAACAAGTGGGTTATAGGTGTCCTGTGAAGTACTAGGGCTGTAAATTTTTTTAAATAAGATTTTATTTGTAGCTTTCAGAATAAATTTAATTTTTAATATTATTTCTAATATTTTATAATGATATTGTATTATATTTTTATAAAACAAAGGAAATAAAATTTTCACCAAGCTCTAAATCCTTTCCCCTTTCTCCACTGCTGTCTGTGGAACACTACTGTATTCACACGTTGTATCACATATAACACATCATATATACAGATCATACATCATATGCTCTGATGTAAAAAGGTTGGAAATGGCTAGTTTAATTTAGATTATTTGTTAGATTATGGCCACCTTCAGATAATCTTAGAAAAGCAGGGTAAACATAAGGAGCGGGATGGAGGTATGATGTTGTATAAAGTGTCTGCACAGAGAAATTGCGTGTCCTGTTCCAGAGACTAAGGATGAAGTAGCCAACAACAACAACAAAATCCCAGCTCTCGTGGAGCTTCCACTCTCTTGGAAAAGACAGAACCTCAAAAAAAAAAAAAAAAAAAAAAAAGAGGTGGAAGAGGTGGGGAAAGGAAGAGAAAAGAAAAAGAAGAAGGAGAGGAGGAGGGATTAAAAGAAAAGAAACTCTGGTAGTTTTCAGTGATATAAAGAAAAATTATGCAGAGAACATAGAACAAAGAACAGAAATTCAGAAATGTTCTAGGGGTAAAATTTGAACAGAGGCCTGGTGCAGTAAGGAAGACATTTAGACAGTACTGGGGGAAGCATGTTTCAGAAAGAGGGCCCTACCTGGGAGAAGTCAGAAGGTCAGTTGGGAGGTCAGTGTGGAAGGGAAAGCAGCTTAGTGAAGGGGAAGGAGGAGCAGGGGACAGGGAACATGTTCAGAGAATCTGCCAGGCAAGACTGTAGAGGGCTGATAGGCCAAGGCAAAATTTTAACTGCTATATTTTGGAAAAAAAAAAAAAAAAAGACTTCTGACAGGCACTGCTTTAGGCAATTCTTTAATTATTTTGATAGTTAATTGCGACTTTTTGAGTTTTCCACCACTTTTTTTTTTAATCGAGTCCATGGGAGTAGTGCCATATGAGTCTTAATACAACATATTTTCTAAGGGAAATTTATGAGAAGAGTGATCTTTTTCATTGCAAATTCTTTATAGCTGCCAGCTGAGATTCTCAGAGAAATGCAATTCCCTCTTAAATACAAATTTAACAATCCACTCAATGATTAGAGTTCTTGGAACTCAAGGATTGACTAAATTTAAACAAACAGCAGACCTTAAGACTCCAAACTTACCGCCTGGGATGAAATTTAAAATAAACCTTGTAAGAGAGGAAAAGCACGTTGCTTCTGTAGTACTGTTAGTCTAATATTTTGAACACTTCTGACAAGTACAAGCCCTGGCAACAACCATGAAAAGAGGGATATTTGCCTTCAGTCACAAAGATGGCAACATAGGATGTTCCCAACTTAGCTCTCCCTCGCAAGAACAACCAACAACTACTCAATAAAAAACACCGCTGAGAGAGTCCTAGAACGTGGGGGTGAGGCTGAAGCACTCCCTCTGCACCACAGAGATCAAGACAGACTGCATTAGAAGGGTAAGAAAAGAAGCTACAGGATGACCACGCTGCTCTAACCCCAGCAAGCACAATAATGCACAAAGTCTCCCCTGAGATTCTGGTTCCTCCTGCAGGAAAAGACAACCCAAGTGGATAACGAGCACCCCTCCCAGAATTGTAGGTTGCTCTGTGGGAGTCCCTATTCTGATCTGTACCATGGCGACTGCAGGGGAATCTGTGAGGCTCAACCACTGGGAATCGGACTGTGATATGTAAGGGGGGTAGGGGTTTGCAACAACTAGGACATGGATCTTGGCAGATCAAGTTCATACAAGCAATGCCCAAATAGTAATCCTGACCAGCAGCTTTGCTCAGCTGCAGAACCAAGCTGGGGGCACACACAGATCAGTGAACTTGGTGGGTGCAGATGTGCCTGATTCAGATTCTTAAGCAAGGAGTTTTGTCAGCTCTAAAGCTCAGTATGTCCATACCCAGGCAAGGAAGTGAGTCATAGTCTCCCCCACTGTGGGGAGTGTCTCCCAGCCCCATCTGATCAAAAGGATTGGTGACAATTCCCAGAGGCAGTGAGGTCCGGTGGCACTTGAGCCAAGAGGTGCAAGGGCAGTGTGGAATACCCCAAGAGCAAAGCCAGTGCTGGGTGTGGAGTGTTCCCATGCTATGCACAGGCAGGGAGATTCATTCATAGCTAAGCCTGAGGGTGACTCCTAGCCACTCTCAACCTGAGAGCCTGTTTGGGAAACTGAAAATAGCTGGAATGACACCTCCCCCTCCTGCCCTGAGACAGTCCTACTCACTGTAGAGAGTGTCTTATCCCCAGCTGACCAACTCTTGGAAGCTGTGTGGCCCAGCATCACTGGAGCTGACACATGGGCAGGGAGAACAGACAGCTTTCAGAACAAAGCCAGTGGCCCTGCTTGGTCGGGGAACATGAGATGTGGTACCGCTTGAGTTAAGACAACAAACAAAGAGCTTTGTAGGCTTTAGAGCTGCTTCTCCTGCTGTGCCCAAGCAGAGAATCTAAGTTTTTAGTCCTACTCGTTGCTAAATACAACCTATAGCCTGTCTGACCAGGGGTCTAAATAGAGCACACGGGAAGCTGCATAACCCATCAATAGCCTTACATACAGTGGCTCTTGAACAGAGAGCACAGCCTGTGGGTTCCCCCATCTGCAGAGCAAAACTGATGACCTTACCTAACCAGAGCATTCAATGTACACTCTGGCCTGATTCATGTCCCCAAACAACAAGCTGCATAGGTCCTGGGTCCCTGCTAGGGTCCCTGTCATAGTCTATTACTGTATATAATAGCAGTCCTGACCATCTACTAAGCCTGACCAGAGAATCAATGCATTGTGGAGCCCATACTACAGCCTCATTTACGTAGGGGACCAAGCCAACAGTCCTATCCAATTATTATCAGCCAGTGGCACACTCCCTCATTCCCAACCTCAGAGCTTGAACAGTTGTTTCACTCCAAAATAGACCACAATAGCAGGTCCTACCTGCCCAAAGACATGACCAGGAGACAACCCAGAGACAAACTGAGCTGACTGGTGAAAATTGTCTCTGTAGAGCAAACCTGCAAAGTCTGGA